TGTTTAATTACCTTCTCAATAATTTAAAGTGGCGACACCAATATTCTAACTTGTTCACTTCATGCAAATTAGGTAATATAATTGGGATTATTTTATAAAATTAAAGAATTCAAAAAAATTATTTTCGACCCGAGAATCTTAGACCACGTGCCTAAGTGCCTTGCACCATTATTTTTTTCTCAGATTCGTTTCACTCTATCCAGCTTTCTTTTTACCACAAACCGAAATTTCAGGACATTTTTATTTCTCGGCCTAAGCTTCAGCTTCATTTTTTCTAATTTTTACTTCAAAGGAAATTTGGGTTTATGTTATGGCCACGCGGCATGCCACACGCTGTACATTGTGAAGCGGGAGAAGATAGAGTTATTTGGAGGACGTTGATATACATGTGTCACTTACCTAACACAGATATCACCCTAGTATATATGTGACTTGTATAGCTCTTGGCAACTGGACTCTGCGGTATAGCTCAGTGCATGGTCAAAAGCACTGCACGGGAATCGTGGGTTCGATTCCTGTTCCCTATCAAATCTAAAATACCCCTATAATTTTCGCTCGAAATTTCTATCAACAAAAATCCTTCAACATTTGCTTTGAACTACATTTCATCCTCAAGTGCTGCTATCAGTGATGCGTCGACGTCCATACATCATTAGAGACCTTACGATGTAGGACGGCAACGTGACGACAACGGCTACTCATACAATGAGATTCATAATTTCTAAGAAAAGAAATGAATAATTAATATCCTACAGGAGTTTGAGACGTCATGCATGGTCTGTTTACAACGGGAAACTGCAGACTTTTACGTCTTGGATACAACGCCTGAATTTCAAGACGGGAGAAGTGATACTCAGCAAATTAGCTCAGTACTACAGAGTACAGTGGAACTTTCTCAACAATAAAGCCACTATTTCAAACTAACCAAACAGTTTTGAATTGATAGATCAATAATAGTCTACAAATTTTATTTGAATGCCATTTTATTCTGGCCGTTGTCGTTGCCGTCCTACATCGTAAGGTTTCTAATGCCTCTTCCAAACATCGAAATTTTCAAGGACTTGAAATCTCCATGACTTGTATGGGGTGTGGCACAGGCATTGCTAATGAAAAAATGTGAATGCTTAGGATATGTAGTATGTTCGATCATGCGCACATCCTATGATGAATATTGAACTTTGTTAGACTAGAAATAACTAGGTTTGGGCGATATTAGTAGATAATAGTCACAGGGTTGGTCAATGGAACGGCTCAAGATGTGTTTTAGCGTCAAGTTAGGAAATGCCTGGAAATTGAAAGGCAATACATACATGCAGTCATTGGACAGGACACAAAAAGTACAGTTCATATAATACGAGGTTTAATAGCATCAAAAGATTCCTATTCTTTGCCAACTTAATTAGGACTATAACTTTGGGGATTTTAATATCACGGATATCAGGGAATAAAGATATGGTACTCCCTTGACTTATGCTGTATAGTTATTTTTCTATCGAATAAATGAATTCTGTGTTTGTTTAATTTTTTTCGTATTTCAGAATATAGTATAATAATCTTATGGCACTTGTTTCTCTCACGGTGTAATTCTGATAAATATCGTGATACATCTAGACATTTTACGGTTATTTCAACGGCAGATAGAATCCATATAATGATGAAAATACTATACCTAAATGCCTTGTCTTACATCCTAAACATGGCTCAGTTGACTGAAGAATGAACAATATTTATCTTAAATAATACTTGTTTGAATACTGCATAATCCACTTATGACCGACAGCCTTCAATCTTATAAACATATCCATAGACATAGTGGCATCAGATGCAACTAACAGTGATGTAGAAATGGGTTTTTTTGTAGTAATTCATATAGGCATCATAATCAGCCACAAAAAGTAAAAAATATAGGGAATATTAAACCATTAAGAAGTGCTGTGTTTGACTTCAATACATATCGTGACGCATTCTATCTGTTCCCCAAGGTTAGTTCACAATATAGAAAAGTTTACATGATATTTATTTCAGATAAAATACATCTTTATCATTTTAATTCTTTTCCTTGGAAGTCATGCATACGATAAGACACAAGATATCGCTCAAGTGCTCAACATATTTTGCATTGTCAGACTGTCAGTTTTGTACTCAGTTTTGCCACCGTGACGTACCCTATAGCTAGCAATCGAGATAGTTCGATCTGTTGACTTCCGACAGAGTGAACTCTTGAGAGCAACTCTTCAGTAATATTTAGGTAAGTGTAACATTCTCCTCTGAATGTACCAAGACTAGCCATGCAATCCTAAATTATCACCAGTTTTTCTCCTATAATGTACCAGTTGTTCTCCTGCCGGCCACAGTATCAGAATGCACCAAAATGTACTGCCAAGTTCTAAATTACACAACACTTTACCAGGACGACACATGTCATAGGCAGGAACTCAGGGAGACGACGAAACTCGCTAGGACTGAGATAAAGAATGGTAAGGACTAAGGTACTATAGGTTTCACTAGGTCTGTTATGTAATCTAGAAAATTCGTGAGACTGTCAAATTAATCCCGGCCACGGTATAGCCTACTCTAAATTTCTGAATTAACCTCACAAATTCATAATGAACTGAAGATATACATATACTACATATAATCTCGCATATAATATGCAAACAGAAATGACAAAGAAAATGACAACAGTTTGCAGCCTGAAAGCAATACTTATAATTGAGTCACAATTTGAATATTTATAATTTTAAGGTAGATATATAGTGGCTGGGTAAAGGTACGTATAGTTTACACGCTGCATTTGTTATATACAATTCACTGATACATTGGTTGCATTTCAAATTTCGCCATAAATTTAAATGAAGAGGAATCGTTGGTCAGCAGTAGCCTAATTTCATGTCTAATGTGCACAAAAGTACAACTGAAAATCTAGCAATTAATTAATTAAAATTTGTATTAATTAAGATGAATTTGTTTAAATGACGCTGTGTTCCTATTGCAGAAGATAGTAATATCTTCACTAATTATTATATCAACGACAACGTTTCGTTTCAGAAAGCAAATTCTCTGACCTACAGTTTCCCTGACAGACTATTTCTGTATTCGTTGTAAACAATGATTCTTATACGTTTATACCGAAGTTCACCAGATTCATGCTTTACTGTCACTATAATCTTCCACAGCTTGACGAAATATAATTTAACAAGAATTTGTTACGTAATATATCTTACCAAGCATACGACGTTTTAGATCATATCTCGCCATTTATCTTTTATCAGTTTTACCCGATGACGTCATGATTCAGTCACCCTACGAAAGGTTAACTGGCGGTGTCCAAAGAAACCAACAATGACAAACAAATACAATCAGAAAGGGGGGAAAGATGATTCAAGATTTTACAAGTAAAATAGTTGCAACTGCACTGTAAACTATTAATACTGTCTGCATTGATATCCTGTCAGTGTCAAACGCTTCCGTAATACTCCAGCGACAAGGCCACCCATAGTTGTGTTTTTTAATTCAGTTTCATTTGAATAAGACGTTGGCATGCAATGAATGTCTCACAATGTTAACAAATTCATCAGCAATAGTCACAGTTGGAAGTAAATAGTCATTCATTAAAATTATATTATGCACTTTGAACCATGCAGGTAATATACTCTTGACAACTTTCGTGGGAAAATGGTCTTCTGCATATAATATTACCACTCGTGCAATTTTCAAAATATTTGCGCAAAAAATTAAAAGTCAAACTAATTGAATGATTGAATGAAAAGTCGAAACCTTTAAAAAAATCTTAATAATCGGAATATTTTCAGGTGTGGGATTAAACGAGTTATTCAGTAAAGGATAAAAATACCAAAATCTAAATCTTTCCTTATTATTATAAATTATTCGATAAGTATTGAGTATAAAAAAGCCTGAGGTTTTGTCTGACCTTGAGATTTTTTGTATTGAAATTATATGCAGCTGTTATCGCTTCCCCTCGCTGATTCATTCAAACAGGAAAATTTAATTGCAATAAAAACATGTGGGACTATGTGTTCATTAACAAACGATTGCTACGTTTGTTTTGCATTATATGTAACTGGTAAGCCATGAGTTATTACAAGTTCCGTTGTCCTAACAAGTAAATATGTCCTAAGACATATGCACTGTATCAAGATTACCACGTTTCCGTAGATAAGCACGCAATGCTCAGATCGTAAACTTTTTCTGAGATCTTAACACTAGAGACTATATAGAATATCAGCTTATCATGTATCACATATGTTCTGTACATAGTGCTTATACATAAAATATCAAATTGTGTTCATTGAAGGTGGTGAAATTTTTCGAAGAATTACTTTAGATTGGAAATTCATATTGCGTGCAGGAGGCAGACTGATATGCTGACCATTTATGGAATCTATTTTATTCCTTGGGAGAAACAACATTGTCAACACATGCATTTTCAGACTGATTCTCCCTAACTTTCTTCAACCACTTTATTACAAAAGATCTTATTCCAAGCCGGTAATGAATTCTCCAAATCTATCCTAAACCTTCCGGGTAACCCTTTGGGCTAAGATGCACTAAACACAGTGACTGAACAACTGATAAAATACTTAATAATCCCCAGAAATGTGCATGAAACTTTGACTTGAGAAGATGTGTTATCAACACCACGTGAATACACCAAGCTAGACAGATCAAGTGTTTTCTGACAGTATTTTCACTCGACACGCTGTGACGTGAAATACTCAAAGGTTTATCAGTGTCTGGGAATACAATTATAAATCGAAACGTTCATTACGAGCATATCACTAGCCAAATGAGTGTTCAAATACAACAATCATTTTAAATGGACACATTGGAAGAAACTTCACGATTATTGTAAGAACTTATTTTAGGGCGCATTCATTATTTATAGTCTTATCATATAAATCTGTAAGAAACGTTTGGTAATTCGAGCTTCCCTCGGCAAAGTGGAAAAGATATTTCAACACGTATAATTAATAAAGGGCCCCGACATTTGCCCCAATAAAAGAGGCCCACAGAAGTCATTCCGCAAGTATATTGCAGAAGCTCAAGCCGGACGTGTGAACAAGAAGAAAGGCTGTTGTATAATTACTTCACCTAGCTCAAGCTTTTGTTAAGGTGTTTCAAGTCATCATTCCCATCAACTAAGTATTCAGGTAAGTCTGTGAGCATTTTAACAACATTGTTTATGAGTTGAATCTTTTGAGGTTATTGGTTTATTGTGTGTCTTTGGTGTTCCGGGGCAGAACTGCATTATTAAGATAACACTTTGTTTGTTCAGTTGACATTATTTATACAAGTTATATCAGACATCATTTCCACATTTGATACTTGTCGATAAAACTATGAACGTATTGTGATACCACTGTGGTGATACTTAGCCCGTTATCAAGTACAAATGTATAATAATGAACATAGCTTCTACTTGGCTGCTACCATGACGTTGCTCATAAAATTGCGTGACCTGAACTCGAACAAATATTTGCTTTAATTTCGCACCAGTTTTTGACCTGCGAATGATGCTGCTAATTATGCCTCACATGAAGTTGGCATGTGTGAAAAGCATGTGTGAACGCGAGTAGTTATTGCATATATGGAGTTTTCTAGCTATAGTTGACGCCAATTATGCAAATGTGTAAAGCAGCGGAAACCACGCGCAACTCAATGCTTCGTTTCTACGATTATGCCTGGGTCATGTAAACTGTAAACTATATTCACATTATGTATTAACATTTGAGATCTAATACAAAGGTTAGCACGTCATTAATCTAAGTGGTTTGCAGCTAAACACATTAAATATGTTTTAGTATCGGTTTTCACTATACATTCTTATCTCAAACAACTATAATAAACATTCTAAAAATGTAAAATGTTTCTTAAGAAAACATATCACAGATACAATATTGTTTTTCTAAGGTACATTGCATAGCAGCTATTTCAAAACGATATCTTGACTGCAATCTAAAATCTCACTGCATTCAATGGTATTGATTTACAGATTGTTTCATTCGAACATTGACATTAATAACGTTGAAAGTTGAAACGCACATTTGCGCACACGGCTTACGCACAGTTAAAATCACGAAGAAGATATAGAAAGAATTCAACTTTCTCAAGTGAAAAGATAGCTTTCATATTTGCGGTAATAGCAGGTATTTGGTTGCTTTAAACTGTTTGTGTTTCCATGGTTTAGTGCATATTTTATCATGTTTTGCTTAATACGGTCAAATTGTTTACAACGAAGTAAATTCACTTCAAAACAACAATCTTTCTAGGATTCTCAGTCGAGTACTCATATTAGTCATATATGTGAAATACGCTCTCTATATACGCGTAGATAATCGCATTTGCAAACTGGAACCCTGACAATAGGAGGCTATTGTACCATACCGGCACCTTTCTGATCTCATTTTCATGGCCTGTTTTTTTATTGAAGCGTTTCTCAAAGTTTTCGGTTTTTACTACTGATATACAAGTGTCTATCACAACACAACCACAACGTTGGAAACGGTATAAATTTAAAACATATTGCTAAATATGGAACCACTTGTTTATTTTAGACAAGTCAACGGATATTTGAAATGTATATTGATTGCCGGATTCTACTTAGGGCCAAATTAATAGAGGATTCTACTGGTATGCATGCACACATGTGTTAAGATCTTCAATCTTGTGTCAAAACACATTATTGTTGAATGTTTATTATGATCACCACATGACATGATCACTGTATATTATACAATATAAAAAGAGATTACTCTGTAAAATACCAATTAAGGTTTGTTTTCGTATTGATCGAGCTCAAATTGTGATATTTTACTATTTAATCTGTTTTTGCGTGTTGAAGGGGCTGACAAAAATTATCACTTAATAATGACTGGATTAATTTCCTGTCTTTGTGTATCTTTTACAGTTCATATAGTCCTATAATTGAGTTTGACTAATGGTCGCGGGTCGCGTGTCGCGGGTAAAAAGTCGCGTGTCGCGGGTAAAAAGTCGCGTGTCGCGGGTAGAATGTCGCGGGTCGCGGGTAAAATGTCGCGGGTAAAAAGTCGCGGGTCGCAAAAGCTCCAAACCGTGTATTTTATTGAGTAGTGGGTTGAATAAAGTGTGTAAAAATCACGTTATCATTTAGTAAACAACTATATAGGATTGCTTCAATACGAAATATTGCCCAAGAGCCTTTTGTCATGATTTAATGAGTTTGATTAATGGTCGCGTGTCGCGGGTAAAAAGTCGCGTGTCGCGTGTAGAATGTCGCGGGTAAAATGTCGCGGGTAAAAAGTCGCGGGTCGTAAAAAAGCTCCAAACTGTGTATTTTATCGAGTCGCGGGTTGAATAAAGTGTGTAAAAATCACGTTATCATTTAGTAAACAACCATATAGGATTGCTTCAATACGAAATATTGCCCAAGAGCCTTTTGTCATGATTTAATGGTTCTATATAAACGTGCCAGAAGCCTAATGAAATGAAAGAATAATTTCAATATGTTAAACCAACAATTATACCATGACAAAAATCCTCTAATCAAAAAATATGTTCTGAAAGAAACAAACAAGACTTCGGTAGAAATAAATTCAGTTTACTACTACTATTACAATCAGTTTTATGCTAATGTAAAAAGAACCATATAGTATCACAAATAATAGATATATCCATGCTAGGACATTATAAAAGTACATTATGATTCAAAGTACTGATCGATGCGCAGAGGCTTGACGACAACGCGCACTGAGCCACTGAATAGCGGATTTTTGCGCCTGATATGGTAAGAAATTGGATTGTAATATGTATTACTAAAATCAAGACTATAAACATAGGAATGTGTAACAGGATCCTTTTGCACTACCGTCTATCAACGTGCTTTACAATAATGTTATATGGTTCTTGTCTAGTTTATCTAGAAACTCGCAATTGCAGCCATAATTTCGAACAACTATTGATAAAAACCATTAAATAACTAAATGTTAATGTGATTTTTACACACTTTATTCAACCCGCGACTCAATAAAATACACGGTTTAGAGCTTTTTTACGACCCGCGACTTTTTACCCGCGACCCGCGACTTTTTACCCGCGACCCGCGACACGCGACCCGCGACCATTAGTCAAACTCCCTATAATTCTACTGAACTGCGCATTTGTTAACAATTCAAATGCGCTTTACACCCTTTGAGTGATTCGTTCACGCCTCGAATGATGGAATGCGGACATCCATACACTTATGTCTCTAGTCATGCAGTTTTCGTAGTATAACGAATGAAAAAGACGATGTGTTTAAATAAAAGTTAGGAAACGTTAGGAGCAGTTTATTTCATTATTTGAGCTGGACTTAGCTGGACTATAACCCAGCTAAGCAGGTTCCAATTCACGTCTTACTCCTTTAATTAACTTAAATTTATCTTTTAATCTTAAACTAAAACTAGTTGAATCCTACATTGTATCCAAGCTCATGGAGATGAAAGATTTTCGTGACAATAATCAAGCCGCGGTTTGCCGGTTTAACCGGGCTCAGCAATAATCACATTCTAGAACCTTCAGAACATTGTATATTTTGGCTGAATCGAAGATTCTAGAGTGTGATAATTATCCAAATAATACTGATCATTCTTGTTGTTGTTTTTCTTTGCAGATACGATGAAAAGCATGTGTCAATTCGTAATTGTGGTCTTTGTATTATATTTTTGTGAACAGATTGATTCCGCGTGAGTATTTCCGTTCACAACTTTGATTACGCATAACACGCAGGAAGCTAACTTAGAAAATATTACAATGATAGATGAATGAAAAATATCACATGCAGCATTTATACTCTCATCTGCTTTATACCAAGGTTATAATCGAGATTTTTAGTTCGTAATTACTCCAATGACTGTGTTTCTCTTGCCTGACTGGCGATTTTAAGAGGTTGGCCGTAATTTTTCACTGTCTGCGCTTCAAACCCCTATACTCCTTAAAAGCGCATGTTAATTAATATGCAGGCTATATGTGGTACCGCGCATGCTGGGCATATTACAGGTCACCCGCACAACAAACTTAACATCCTTAGGGGCGGACCATTAGAAAAGTGATGGGGCGGGGGTCAAAAACATTCGCGCAAAGAAAAGCAAAAGAAAAACAATTCGAGCAAAGAAAAATACCTTTCGCAAAACACATTCGTGTAAGCTGAAAATTGCTTTCATCACTTTTCTGATGGTCGGCCCCTTGGCCTTGCGTGTTTATAATGGTAACAACAATGCGACGTTAGTGTTTTGATGGGGAAACTTGACAAATTCATTTGGTTTTTCCTCGATTATATTTATAGTTCGTATAAACATTAAAGCGGACCCCGTCTCATTTTAAATATTAACATTTTGGGCATCTACACTCGATTTAAACTAATGGACGACTTGCGCTTTAGAAAAATTTTTAATCTGGGAATAACAAAGGATATTTTCGGAAAGAAGTTATCAAAATTAGAAAAACTGCAAAGTTTGGTTGCGAAATGTTGTAAAATACGGAAAATATAGCCATGCGAAGTTGGCAAATTTGTATTTCTATTACGTGTGGAAATTGGTAACTAATTTAGTTACCAATTCACGCACGTAATACAAAAGTATACAAATTTGCCAACTTTGAAGGGCTATATTTTCCGTATTTTACAACATTTCGCAACCAAACTTTGTAATATTACTAATTTCAAGACGCTCTTTCTAGCTGTAGTGATAGATTTCGTTGTTCTTACTTAGATTAAAATTTAGTTTAAAGCGCAAGTCGTCCATTGTAGAAAGATTTTTAAATGTATAAAATTCACACTCGAAATTTCCATCTACAAAACCCGCTACATTTTGAATATTATCCCCCGATGTAACCCCTCCATCTTCACTAAAGTTTTCTTTGTAACAGAAAAATTCCAATTTTAAATTATGTGCAACCTACATACCACCATAGGCATAGATAATTTTACTCTAAAATTTCGTTGTACAGTATCCTATATGTTAAGTTGCGTGTATAATCTGTGTCTATGATATCAATTGGAATTTAGTTTCTGTTTTCTTCTCCTGTCACAGCATTTTCTAGTTATTGCTATTGTTATATCTCTATGTAAATCTTTTATGTGTGTGACAAAATGAATAATAATAGATAAATAAATAAATAAGATGAAAGCCAAAGTCATGTCAAAATTTAATAGTTTAGAAGGAGATCTCGATCATACACTTTGTCACTTGATCAACACAAATTTTTGCTCTACTCCCAGTTCGTGGGAAACGTATATAGCTACGTATGTGCTAGCAATCATTATGATACACAATTCTTTGAAATCAATCTCTACTCCCTTCAGCTCCTGATCCCAAAAGGGGCAGCTCTTTCCTCCAGTGTCCATATGTTGATATCATGGTTCTGTTGAATTTTAGGTCTGTTGAAATGAAACGAAGCATTGTGCAGGATGGACAAAATGCGGCAATGTTTGTTGTCCAGCCCAACCTATTTTGTGCCATATACAGAGACTTAAGTCCGAAACAACACCATATTTGTCGAAACAATTTGCTTTTAATGGGAAGTGTTATTGAAGGTGCTAGATTGGCAAGAAAAGAATGTATTAAACAATTTCGTAATGAACGATGGAATTGTTCGAACATTTCAGGAAAATCTACAGCGCTTGGCCTAATGACAAAATACGGTAAGTGTAAAGCAAGTCTGTTGTTTTCTCACTTCACCATTTGATACTTACGTCACAAACACTTCCTTGTCCTGGGAGCCTCGCTCTTATGAGTCAAGAAGTAAGAGATTTGTGACGTAATTATCAGAGCAGAGATTTGTGACGTAATTATCAAAAGGATGTATAATTGTAATAAAAATATCAGCTAATTTAAACCTCTATTAACTACGTATAACTAAAATTACGTATAAATTACGGGGGGGGGGGGGCTAATAGAAGCCCTAATATATTTCCATTCTTTCTTCATGTTTCTCTACCGCTTCTCTTTTTAAAGAATTAAAATTCATTCCTCATTTTTTCTCTACATATGTCCAATTTTAGGTAGAATTTTCCCTTTTTAGAAGTTTTATTCTGATCGTTTTTGGGGGGTTGGGTGGAGGGCACTTCTACTTCTGGGGGTGTGCCAGAACGTCTGCACAACGAGCGTTGTCAACAGTCCTAAATTATTTATTGCAATTACTTATTTATTTCTTTTCTTGTAATACTTAATTATTGCACAATAAAGCAACTTCACAAGTTTTGTAATGTTGACAAAAATGCAGACTATTCTAAGACTATGAGTGCATAAGACTATTACAGTAATCTCATTAAACCAATACAACTTTGTACCAATAATCTCTCAGTGTGTTCATTAGTATGCTCATTACACATATTTTTATTTGGTAAGCTATATCAGATTTAATAATCCTTCTTGACAGATATGTATTGAGTTGGAAGGGGGGAGGGGGGGGGGGGTTGTCAACACCAGGGGCTTACTCGCAGGTGAATGGTATAAATCGCCTGAGAATATTTGTGAAATAAATGGTCGGATTTAAGAAGTCTGCTTACAACTTGAGTTGTGTGCTTGATTTATACAGTAAGCTTGATTTATACTTGATTTAAACACTACACAAAAATTGTGTAGTGTAAATTAGCCTTTAATGGAATTTAACAGGTGGATACTAAGAAAACTAAAATGGATAATCATTAGAAAAAACTGCGGGAGCAGTGGCGCCGCCAGCTCGATAATTGGGGGGGGGACAATATTCATATATTCGTGTTTACAGACCTTAAAAACATTAATAATGCAGAACAGGAAGATATGAATATGTGCCCCCCCCCCCAATTATCGAGCTGGCGGCGCCACTGGCACTGTGCGGGAGATATACTGATGCCCATCAAGGGTGTAACCCAGGTCGCTTGTCACTCATTTTGTAGCTGCTTTGTCGCTTGTGTTATTCACTTATTGTAATAAATGTCGCTGTCACTTTTGACCCACAACACAAATCGCAATAGTCTTCACTAGTTTGCTTGTTATAGTTGTTACTAGTTTCAAGCCATGTTTTTCAATCACCGTTTGCAGAAAAAATATACAAGGAGGACGCTTTATACTATATATTATAGGATTGGTTCACTATAAAGAGAACAAGATTAGTCTTGCTACACATGCATTCTTCATTCCAATAAAAGATTAGATGTTAACTCATGGTAATATTACTAAATATTTACACTTCCCAATGTTTGCCAGATTGACGATACTTATAATGGATGAAACTATGAAGGATTTTTATTCAATATTGACAATCGCATACTCATGATACATGCATAGTTGAAGGGACATACATTCTTGCAATATGTACTTTCCTGCTCAGTAAAAATTCGCCTCAGACTCTTCTTAGAAGTGTGTCCCAAGTTCACCAAATTCTACTACTGCCCCACAACAGCGCAGGTTTTCTCCGGGCTACTACTGGGATGATTCTTACTGGATTTCTATGTGGAACAGCGAAATATTATTATGTTCAAGCTTAACTATATTGTCATTTGCTTTACAGCAACTAAAGAAGCCGCTTTCAATTACGCCTTGGTTACTGCTGGCATTGTTCAAGTAATGGCAAGAAATTGTATGAAAGGAGACTTGCCGAGTTGTCATTGTAGTCGGGCAAAACGACCTGCACAATCGTTGTCTTCGTTGAGTGCAAAGTATAAGTGGGGAGGTTGTGGAGATAACATTCAATATGCTTCAGACTTTTCCAAGAAGTTTCTGGATGATCCCAAAGTCCTGGAGAAATTGAATGGCAGCACTAACGCAAAACGTGCTGAGAAACTTCTTATGGATCATCATAATAAAGAAGCAGGAAGACAGGTACGAAAGACAAAAAATATAATTTTCTTTACGTACAGGATCGTCATTCTCCGTGAAAAACAGTCTGTTCAGATCAACTAGCAGCGCGGATATCTCACACTGCCTAACGCTATGATATCAATAGACAATAACACAACAGTTTATCTGTGATATCAGTAAGGCTGCTTACATGTTACTCAACCGTTTTGCTCAATTCAGACACAGGCTTTATGTTTTTATTACCCATTCATGCATGTGATCCTGATTGGCCGGTTTTGATTTAACTGGTTACTTTTCATTTAATATTTACTTAATATTTATCTCTTTGAGTTCTTTGACTTATAGGCAATAAAAAAATCTTTTTAGTTCGAAATTGCGTTGCGATGTTATAAGGAATGCAATAAATACAGCTCCCTGTAACATATCACATGCATATGTCTTATTTCTTTCATGGTTTAGATATGTTGCGAAATAATTATAACATGTTTCCTAATTATTTTTAACTCTACTCTAGGCCGTATTTAAGAACAAAAAAGTTATTTGTAAATGTCATGGAGCTACAAGTCACTGTAGTGTTAAAACATGTTGGTATCAAGTGCAGGAATTTAACGTCATTGGTGATTATCTGAAAGCAAAATATCGTTCAGCTGTTAAAGCAACTCTTCTAAAAAGAAAAGATGGAAAGGTCACATTAAAAGTAAAAAATAACAATTTATCCAATAACAAACTTGTTTACACTGACGTTTCACCAAGTTATTGTCTCAAAACTGTCGGTCGATCATGTAGTAATACTATAACTGGGCCTGGAAGCTGTCAATACCTTTGTTGTGGACGGGGCCACAATACTGAAAATCGAGTGGTCTCGAAAAATTGCCGCTGCAAATTTCAATGGTGTTGTGATGTGAAGTGTGACATATGCCAAGAAAACGTCCAAGTGCACACATGTCGTTAATAATTCAATGTTTCAAACGATGATCTTGTATAAAAATTCAGGAGCTGACAGACTGAGGACACGATCACGCAAGTATAAAGAAAGAATGAATGCTTTCTGTAGTCAAAACTTCACATATAAGAGCAAGAACACTCAGAACAGTTCTACTACATAAACAAAGTTAACAAACTGAAAAGACAAGTCAACAAAATACTAGACAGTAATGCTAGGCTAGGACTGCATGGTTTTATAAAACTCAATACACCAATTTTATTAATGAATGCTGCTAATTTAAAATTATTTCCGTATAGTGGCCCATTTGATCTTGTTCGCTTTCATGGTAACCAGGCCAATCTATAGGTAATAAATATGCATAAAATTTTCAAATTGGAAGCATTTATGAAATTGGTCTATACTCTATATACTAAACCATACTTTTTTATGCAATGTAAATATAATGACTAATGAGTAATGTATATAAAAATGTATACGATGCATAGGATTTACTGTAGGCTGGCCTTCAGAATTCCCTCTTGAGCAAATACCATAATGTTTTGCATCTTAAAGGACGTGTGTGCTGGTGTGATGCATCTCACGTTGGTAATTGCAAGGAGCGTGAACACGTACACGATCTATACGAATACTCTGACGAAGTGAGACGTCATCGAAACTCGATAGCTTTTCAATCACAAGTTGTTTTAAAAAAATAGTAAATCAAATGAACCATTTTGCTAATTCAAATTTTCCCTGTAGTTTCAGTCCTCCCTGCAGACCCGCCAAAAGGGGGAGGGACAGGGGGCATTTTCCCCCGGGCCCACAAATTTCTTGACACAGGATTGCTATTTGCTAATATGCAGTAAAGCGCACTGTATTGTAAAACACTGCTGCTCCCATTTGGCAATTATGATCATGACATCATAGGGGCCCAGGGAAACGTTTTATGACGTCATTAGGTCCACCTGGGAATTTTTTCCCCGTGCAACCTCTCGGCGGCCCTGCCTTCCTGCGGTTAAAAAGTAATTAATCGGCTTCGTGCCAGCCTCTTATTAGGATGCAAATTAGGCAGAGCTGATCTGCCCTAGAAACGACATTTGCATGAATTAACAAAATGGTCATTATGAAAAAGGCAGTCTTGATTGAATCTTCTCCATTGCTGCCATTATCTAGAAAGAAAGAATAAATAGACCATTCCCGAATCATGATCGAATGCCCACAGACAATAGCACGAGAACGAGGCTTCGTGCAAAGTTGTAATGTTTTTATAGCAAACTTAGCACGAAGCCTCCACTTGGCGTTATTGTTCGGAATTCATAATTCGGAAATGACCTGCGACTTGACTACAGTTTTTACTAGTTACAAGTTTTAAAGAAAAACTCTTGTCTGTAATAAATATGATACTGCTCAATGTATTTCGTTGTTATCAAACTTCAACAAGGTTCATGACCTTTCAATAGCCTGAACATATAAATGATATGAATTAAGATAAGAATTAATGAATTAAAGATAATTGAATATTATGTAGTTCAGTAGCTTTAAAGTTTGTGTTTATATTTACAGTCGTGTATTATGAGACTAATGTAGTGACTAAAGTGACTAATTATGGCTGTATTTAGAGGGCCCCCTATACCTCTTCACAATATGCTTTCACGTAAAAATATTTTGCCTTTTCACGAGTCACGGATTAAGAAAATCATCGATCACGTT